TGGGTGTTCCACTGCAGTTAGAGATGCTGTATTAAGAGAAGTCTTTAAAGGACATTTTCATACTTGATGCCAGCCCAAAGATTGTAGGTACTTGAATTCAACAAAATATCTCAATGTAGGCCCATAGTACATAATAATAGTGAATTATTGGCACAACTGGCAGTAGTCGGAAGTTGTTTACATGAGCCTTTACAGGTCAGCATGTTAATATGCATTTTGCTTTAATACCACGTGGTTACAATTTTCTGCTGGATGGTTAAGACCAAGTTAAAGCAAGACCTATATAACTAAAACTACACCTTTTGTTATCTGTCAAGTTCAGTCAAATCCCCTCAAGATTTACCCTGGAACCATTTACAACACTTTGTAGATCTTTTGTCAGTGTTAGCCATGTGGATGAGTCATGGCCATTGCTTGGTCAATTTGCTCTCTGTGAAAGCCTGAGAGAATGTTTTCTCTCCATGTGACTCTCCTTAGGCAAACTATATATTGTCAATCACTATCCATTGTGATCTTTTGTGGGTCTATAGTCTTGATCAGAAAATTTGGGACACCACTGCATTACATTATGTCATAGCAGAGGTTCTGTTATGTCCTAAGTCCTCAATGATCTTGAAGGCCTAGGGCCAAAATATTGGCTATCCTTTTAGCCCATGTATTGTTCTAAATTTAGTCTGCAAACTTTAGTTGACAAACATCCAGAAGAGAAGCTTAATGATGTTGTTATCCTGTATCAGTGGTAGTTAGATTTAACATTTCAATCTGCCTGAATATCAAACACTTTAGACATAAAATGAAACTGTTATTTTGCAACAACCATGGATATTCTAAAGAATGTGAAAATAACACATATTTTTTACACAGAAATTAATAAATTGAACCATAGACCACATTGTAGCAGAATATTAGAATATTTAATTCTTGTCTCATATTTTCTTTTTTAATATTTACTTTAAAAAGAATATAGCAATAATTGATATGACATTAATAGCACTACGCATTTAGAAGATGAAAATGGCAGGTATTTCAAACATGGTTTTAGTATTGCACTTTTCTGTCCTCAATTTTATTTGCTTAATTCACAAATAGCAGCATAAAGTTATTCAGTGTGAGAATTCTACACATTAACTGCTATTTTCATAAACCTGATGGAATTCTCAGCATCATGATCATAAGTATCTAGTTTACATGTAGGTATGGTTTTATCTTACCATATTTCCTAAACTTCTCCTTTCTTTCTCCTCATTATTTAACCCTTAAGTTCGGTATTTCCAGTTACCTGTGTTATATCTTTCAATTTTTATTTCTTCTTTGGCCTTCTTACACTAGGGAAAAATAATTATTATTTTTTTCAAAATTTTATTGATAAACAGATAGCAATGAGACAGTTTCAAAGCAAATCGGAAGTACAGATTCAACAAATAACACACTGCATATATCCTTATTAGTGTTTAATTGCTGTACAAGATGCAGACTTGAGATCCTATGTACAAACACCATTAGAACAAATCATTCTATTCATTAAGACAATACAACTATATATCTATCCTAACCACTTTGAATACACAGATACAAAATGGACATTCATCTGTATACCCCATTTTTTCTCAGTTCCATTATTGAATATTATAGGTGTGTAAACTCAGCAAAATATTCTAAAAGAGTCCAGTAGCCCATAATAGCATTGGGTCTTATGTTTAACTGGTAAAGACAGAAATTATTGACCTGAGTCCCCAACAGCTCAACATAACAGCATGGCTTTACTTCCTATATTTCGTCTTCATACTTTTCTACTGGATGGTTAAGACCAAGGTAAAGCAGGATCTGTGCAACAAGAGTTGTAGCTTTTGGGTCTGAGAAGGTCAGTGAAATCCCCTCAGGATTTATCCTGAGATCCTGTATCTCAGATTGTAGAACTTTTGTCAGTGCAGTCATGTGGATGAGTCACGGCCATTGCTTGGCCAATGTGCTCTCTGTGAAAGCCTGAGAGAGTGTTTCCTCCCCATGTGACTCTCCTTAGGCACACTCTTGGGCTCATACTCTCCTTGATCAGAAAATTTGGGACACTACCGAGGTACATGACGTTACAGTACAAGTTCTCATATGTCCTGAGTCTTAATTGACCTTAGAAGGTTAGGGCCAAAATGATGGCTTTCCTTGTAGCCCTCCTTTTTCTCTAACTTTGGTCTGCAAACTTAGGTTGTTAACCATCCAGAAGACAAGCTTATTGTTATTATCAAACGATTTAGGCTATTAAGCTTAACCTCACTATCTCACTGCATCTCAAACTTCTTAGGAATAATAAGGAACAGGTATTTTTCATCAAGTATTGATATGGTGGGAAAATTATGATACTTGCACATGTATGTCTACTTCACATATGAGCATAAAAGCTCCAAGTTGCATGAGCTTACCTAGGAATTTCCAGTTTAGTTTTCTTTCTAGCTGAGTAATACTCAAAGGTACAAAAACATAACCTATTTTTCATCCATTCTTCAGATCAGGGGCATTTTGTTTTTTTCAAGATTTTGATATTACAAATTGTACTTCTGTAAACATAGGCTCTGATATGATGTTTTCATCTCTTTTGGAGAAACTCCCAGTAGACGGATAACTGGACTGAATGGGATTTCCAGTCCTAGTTTGTGGAGGAGCCTCCACAAACTTATTTCCATCATGGTTCACCATTCCACATTCCCACCAGCGGTGGAGAAGTGTTCCTTTTTACCCATAGCCTCTCTAACATTTGTTGTTGGTTGATTTCTTTATGATAGCCATCCATTCAGCATGAGATGGTATCTGAGTGTTGTTTTAATTTGCATTTCATGAATGGCTTGTAATGTGGAGCATATTTTTCATGTATTTATTTGCATCTTGTATTTCTTCCTCAGAGAAGTGTTTGTTCATCTCGGATACCCATTTTTGGATTGGGTATTTAAACTTTAGGGCCTTAACGTTTTTTAATTATTTATAAATTCTATATGGAAGACCTTTGTCTGAGTCCTTATTAGTTAAGATTTTTTCCAAATTTGTGGGTTGTCTTTTCACTCTATTGGTAATTTCTTTTGATGTGGGGAAGCTTCAGACTAAGAAGAGCTCCCAGATGTTAATTCTTTCAAGTATTTCCCATACAGTTTGATTTTTATTCATGAAATATTTACATAACCCCATGCCTTCAAGATTTTCAATGCAGCATATCGTTAGATTTTGATTCCTAATACACTCTGCCTATTTCTTTTAACTGTTAAATTTGCATTAATGGTCATAATTGAAGTGTATTGCAATATGATTGACATGTTATTTACTTCCTGTTGCACACTTCTTTTTCTCCTGTATAGCTACTTTTTCATCCAGGAGATTAAGTATTACTGTTTTAATGTTTAGACTTTTATTACATTTTGTTTAGAGCATGGTGATAGACGTGGGTAAACTTTTAGTTTTTGGCATGTAGAGAGCCAGTATTTCCAGCACCATTTGTTGAAGATTTTTTCTTCCAGCAAGCATGTTTCACACCTTTGTCGAAAGTAAGATAGTTCAGTGTGTTTGTAGTTGTATCTGCATCTTCTAATCTATTCCAGTCATCCTCAGTTTTTTTTTTTTCAACCAATACGGTGCTGATTTTATCACAGTAGCTTTGTAGTAGAATTTGAGGTCAGGGATTGTAAAGCCTCCTGCTTTGTCTGTGTTGCCCAGAATTGCCTTTGCTTTCTGCTTTTTCTGGTTCCAAAAACATTTTAGGAATGATTTCTAAAGTTCTGTGAGGTATGGTGGTGCTATTGTGATAGGGATTGGGTAAAAAGTGTATATAACACTTTTGGGAGTATGGCTGTTTTCACAATGTTGTTTTGTTATCCAGGAACAGGGAATATCTTTCCATTTTGTGAAATTTTCTCTGATCTCTTTTTTCAGAGAACTGTACTTTTCATTGAATAGATCTTTTCACTCTTTAGTTAGAGTAATTCCTACATATTTCATTTTCTGTGGTGCCATTGTGAAGCATATCGCTTCTTTAATTTCTCTCTCACTGTGTTCATTATCTGTGTAGAGGAATGCTAGCGCCTTTTGGGTATTGTCTTTCTAATCTGTGATGCTGCTGAATTTGTTATTGGTATGAGGGTAATTCTTTGTTCCTGTTCTGTTTTCCTAATAGGTGTCTTCACTGCTATAAATTTCCCTCTAAGAACTGCTTTCATTGTATTCCATAAGTTCCGATAAGTTGTGCTTGAACTTTCATTGAATTGTAGCTATTGTTTAATTTCCTGTTTAATTTCATCTGCAAACCATTGGTTGCTGAGGAGGGTGTTGTCTAATTTCCTTGTATTTATGGGGTTATTTTTGGATTGTTTTGTAATTTATTTCCAGTTTCATTGCACTGTGCTCAGATAATATGCATGAGATAATTTCTGGTTTTTGCATATACTTAAGTATGCCCTATGGACTAGTATGTTTAGTATTTTAGAAAATGTCCCATGTA